CCAAGAGTTTGGGTGTGAAATCAGTGATCATTGAATTCTCTGGTTGTTCTTCCCATCAGTTGATTGCCAGAACAGGGGCACTTCAGGGGCCAATCAGTGTAGAGGTAGGGCCAGGGTCCCTGTAGCCCCTCTCCTAGAACAGCCCCTGATAATAATAATAATGTATGTTTTATATAGCACACGGACAGACTGAGCCATTGGCCCCTCCGACCACCACCACCACTCACGCACACACCACTAGGCAATGTGGGTGAAGTGCTTTGCCTATGGACACAACAATGAGTTTTTGCAAATGGCACCCCACTGGGGCACCTGATTTTCCCAGCAGTCTCTCATCCAACCAGGCCCTGCTTTGCTTAACATCTGAGACCTAACAGGATCAGGTTTTGACAAGCGAATATGGCCACAACCCTCCACATTATGGAATTTGATTAAGTCATGATCTCAGTTGGTGAGGAAGGGCCTATGTATAGTAAGTCTATGGGAGATTCACTGTTTTTGAAAGAAAAATCCAAAATAGAAAAGCTCAAATGATTTATCAATATTTCTTGTCTCTGAATGGCACCACAACCCTGTAATATTAATCTTACAACATTCACACATTAATAGTAATCTTACAACATTCAAGAATTTAGAGTTGAATATTGGCACCACTATCTGATGGTATTGTGAAAAACGTAATTTAAATTGAACTTGAACTTTGTGATAGTTTTGGTGTCTGGTGGATAGGCCCAGTAGAGATATTAACCATAAAGCAGGTAAACAAATCTACAACCTGAGAGTTAAATAGCAAATTCCCCCATTGGATTCTGACATGTCCTTCAGCTCTGTTTTAAACTATAGATTAGATACATGTTTTGATGTCACGTGAACTCATCCTATTGCACAAAGACCCTTAACACGTGAGCCAAAACAAAGGCAGTGTATGGAAAGTCCAATTGAACATACATGTTTTTTGTGTGAGGGCTCACATAGGGAACAATACAAGCTTTAGAAAACTGCTGTCTGTGCAGAGGCCCCATACAGGACAGCATAATATGGGCAGGGATGTGGCAGAATCTGGACACACAATGGGTGCCCAATGGCCTCATGGGAAGTATAGGTTTGGGGAGAGCTCTCTGGAAAATGAAAAGCTGAGTTGTTCAAAAGGTGCTACACAATACAATGCACCCCACACAGTCAGATACTCATTACTGCACGAACATAGGTGCTGTCACAATACTTCAAATTAAACTTGATTTTGTCACTAAGGAAAAGGCTTGCTCAGTAACGATTTTGATTTTGATATGGAGCTCAACAGTGACTGCCTCATCCAACTCTGGAAGTAAATTCTCCATTCATTTTTCTCATAGACATTTAGAAAAAATCAAATATTAAGAGTACAAAAGCATCACAGAGGCTAACCAGCTATGCACGATTCAGCAAAATGCTTTAATAACTTAGTGGTAACATTTCAGAAAGATATTTTGAATAAAATTATAGGTCTTGTGGCCATGAGTTACCACATAGCTAACTTTTTTTCAGAAAGTCTATGGTCTGTTGAGCTCCACTGATAATAAAATTATAAAGGTGCACTAAACCACTACATGTTTGACGTTAGTGATTTACCTAAAATCTTTCACAGTGTGGCATAAAGCATATATATTTTACATTTATTCAACAACATGTGTTTTATTGCTCAAATATACCTTAATGAAACATGCAAGTCAGGACTCTGTACTAATAGATAAGTTTAATTAAGTACTTTGGAACATGTAGGCAAAAACAAACACCTCCCCATTGAGACAAGCAGGTGACCTACCCTCCACTAGAAAAGTTACATAGTGCACCTTTAACAATAATACAATAAAGAACAATAATTAGCAAAATATCAATACAAAAATATGTATCAAACAAAACAAAACAAATCAATTTTACACAGCTCAAAAAAGAGAGAGTCTTTTTGACCAAACTGAAAGGTCCCATTTTGTCAAATTTGCATTATTTTCAACATCAGTACTTTTTCTAATGAGTATTTACTATAGTTTTGATTTTAGTTTTAGTATTGATATCTATGTGTCAATCTGTGTACTGATACTTTTGACAACCCTTGATGGACTACAACAGGTCTTTCACTAGTTTGTTATTAATATGATGATGTAATGTTTAGGCGACAAACACCCCATCCCCCTCCTCCTCTCCTGTTCCCTCGCTTCCTGTGTTCACCCCCCTTTTTTCTCTGGGGCATGAAATCAAGGCTTCCAATTGGCCGAAGGGACCATAGAGATGCTGAGAATATCCACCAACCAGGGCCCGGGTGCCCCTCCACGCCGTTTCCACAGCAACGCTTCACAACCACAGCTCGAGTCTGCGGCGTGCACGAGTAAGGCCGTACACGTGCACTACCAGCCTGTGTTTACAACAAGCCTCACAGGAACAGGCCTCAGTGAATGCAGCTACTTTCAATGAGCTTAGAACTGTGGGATTGTGTTATATAGTTAAAGAAATTAAAGCTATACACTGGGGCTGGGTGATATATAAAAAACAATAACTTTTTCCTCATATTGATGGATCTGCACAAGTTTTTTCTTCAGTCTTAATAAAAATGGCTTTCAATATTAAATTGCTGAACACAAACCATATAGACTTTTAATCAGTTTTCTGTATTACGACTCACTCCACACTCAGTTGAATGTGTATCCACAGGTGCCCTGGGACAAACTGACAGAAGAGAGGCTGCCAATCTGATCCATCACCATCACCAACACTCACTGACACATCATATTCATACTAGGCCATGTCCCTCACAGGAGCGCTAGGTTGAGGGTTCAATTCCTGAACAGCACACCGCACGCCTCCCACAAGATGAACCTAAATGAATAAATCTAGTTGAACTTTGGTCTAACACTCTTGAGTCTTTACTGTAGATTCTTCAAGGCGCTTTTTTTGTCTGCGTTCTGAACTCAGATTTCTTTTTTTCATCGTTTCTTTACAGCTTATGCACAAGGCCAGAGCAACAAAACAGTCAATAGATGAAAGTAGGAAATGATTCACACAATATCCAATGACAAGAAAGGATACTGTATTTTAGTTCTTACAAAAAGTTTAATATACTTTTAACTTGTTTTATGTGAAGAAAAGGAAGACGTGTAAAGATTATTTGGCCGGTTGGCTTTACATATCAGCTCAGAATATAGAGTATAACAATGGAATCCTGCAGAAATAGTTGGTTGGTTATGACATTGAGAAAAAAAAATCATCTTTTGTTCAAAATGCCTTGTCTAAGTGTAGAGATTAGAGCAATATTGACTTGACAAGTTTAGTGATCCCATTTTCTTAACATAGCTCATAAACATGCAAAACAGAGCATAATTAGATGAGGGCAATGCTTTATTATCATTTGATTGTAGCGTTTGTACAAAGCCATCTGTTACTGGCTATAAAAAGAAAGCCTCAAGTGCATCTTTGGTTTACAAATGGTACTATTTACATAATACTGTGCCCTCATGCTTCAGGCCATCACAGATAACATTCTTTGCTTATTGGCTTTCTGACTTGCACAAATAACTGCACTGTCACCAGCACGTCTTCAGATGGGACATTTTGGATCTTAGTTTTGTATTACTATTACACTATTATTTATACAAACCCAATAGCAAGATTTCTACACTTTCTTCTTTCCAAATGAACTTAACATATGAGAAAATGAGACAATCCATCCAGCTAATGACACGAAATAACCTGACATTATTAGATTAGATTGTAGATTAGATTATATTTCAATGGATGTTTTTTTTTTTTTTTATTCTCATATCAACAACTTAGTGCTAAAAGTATAGTGGAGATAACTCAGTGCCTAACCCAAGGTCGTCTCAACTTGAAAATGTTGTTCAGCATTTCAAAAATAATATTTTGGCTCAATATTAATTGCATACATTTGTTTTGCATTAGTTGGATTGTCAAAAGAGACTGGGCCTTACTGCTTGTAAACATAGACTATATTTAAATGGACAAAGCTAACCCACTGAGTTCCAAATAGGAAGTGAACATGGGTTGCTTCCGGCTCCATCAACATTTCTAATTTGCTTTACTCTTCATGGTCCTTGCGTTTTTATTTTGCTTTATTGTCCATAAATCAATTCCTATTCCTAATACAGAATTTGGCTCCAAATTTGCCCTTATAACTGCTGGCCTCATGAGCTTCCTTTAACTGGAGCTGAACGTCACATTCACTTAGTCACTTCTTTATGCAGTCTATGCTTGTAACTCACCAAAGCTAGTTCTATATGTGACATACAGAGGAGAGAGTGTCCCCTCTGAGCTGTAAGGGCCGCAACATGCCCCTGTAGAGAGACCCTACCGCAAGGCACCTCTGATCCTCCTCCCCATGCTCCCCACCTTGGACCACAGTTCCACAGGTTTAAGCAGAATGGATGAACAGACAGTAAATCTATCACAGGATGAAGAAGTGAGCGAAACACACGCATTACCACAGGAATCCCATCTCACTCCACAAAACTCCACCAGCCTCCATAACTAGGTCCACCCAGGCCACAGTTAAGGGGCCAATACTACACAATATACACAGAGGTGTGTTTTGTTTCATTCACACATGTTTAATACACAAACCCTGCATATATAGGCTGAGTTCTTCTCTCAAACTGAAAACACTCTTCCACCTTGTGATGTCATGTGGTAATACAGCAAGTGCTCCACTGTGTTTTTAAACTACATACACTTTCACTCATTTCAGTCCTGGAATTGCCAATCTCTGCTGAACAAAGGGTAAAAGAAGCTGTTAACTTGAAAACTACCCATTCATCACAAGGTGGAACAGAGCATTGTGAGCTTTGGAGATGAAGACAGATTAACAATAAAAGGTCATTCATACATGTGTGAATGAAACAAAACACTCCAGGTATGTTTTTGAGGAGATAAAAACATTCTAACAAAGCTTAAAGCTCACAAGAGTAAATTTTGTGCAATATAAGCTATAACATACAGGCTTCATGTGATCTTACCGGTGCATGTGAAGCACTTGACGTGAAAGTGCGTCTCTTGCACTCGGACCACTTCTCCTTTACACACCTCCCGACAGCGCTGGCATCGGATCGTTCCTGAGGTGCGATCACTGCTCATCAAGCCTGGAGAATAAAGAAAAAAGCATTTTATTTATTTAAAAAGTATGTTTTGTATTGGTGAAATCATCCTGGATATGTGACTATTATGGATTAACTGGTCAGCATACACTCAAGTTTACTTTAACTCTTGGGATTGGCTATCAACTGGTGGCTGCTATCAAAACTACCCAGCAGCAGCAACACAATAAAAATATGCATGGGATAATAATTGTATTAGTTGAGGATTCAAATCTCGCTCTTAACATAAACATGATTGGTTTGAGCTGTCAATTCCAGCTCCCATAAATGAATGCTGCTGTTGTGTCCTTGGACAAGACACTTAACCCACCTTGCCCCTAGAGTGTGTGTGAGTGGTTCCTTTGCTATAAAAATGTAACCTTTTACCATATTCAGATGATTTTTTTCCCAATATTCCATAGAACATATTTTTTACAATCCTGCAAACCTTTTTCTCTGCACAGACATCTCGTGAGTGTCCATTACAACATAGTACTTTATACTCTGATAACCTTGATGCTAAGTGTAGTGGGGGCTGCCTGCTGTTACAGTCCACACAGTACTAAGAGTGTGCATCTCTGTTAGCACTTCTTCTGAGGCTGTTCTGTCTGACACCTCTAAAGTGGATAAGCTCTGGGCTTTCTATTTTTCACCCACTCATATAAGCGCCACTGCAGCGTCAGGCGAGAGGAGCCATCTGCACACTTCATTATGCTCCATGTGAGACAGACAGATGTGGACTATAGCACAGGGCGGGTCTTAAAATAGTCTTGGATTAGAAATAAATGAAAAGAAGAAATGTCTCAATCACAGAAAAATAACATAAAAGTGTAGTGAAGTAGAGTTTAAAGGTGCACTGTGTAACTTTTCTGGTGCTTGTCTCCACGGAGATGTTATTGCTTTGCCTGGAATGTGCCACAATATCGTGCTACCAAGCTAAGTTACAGGCCAGGTCTATGGAGAGGTGCTCTCACTCACAGTAAGAATGTATGTATTTTAAGGCAATCAAAACAACTTTAATTGGATGAATGCAAGATATATATGTTTAATGCCATACTGTGGAATATTTTAGACAAAGAAATAACATAATCACAGACAAGCGGGTGATGGACCCTCCTTCAGGAAAGTTACACAGTGCACTTTTAAAGTTCACACAGAAACCATATAAAAAGTTTGATCATTTTACATTTGATCATGTTTTCATTGATTACAGCACTTCTAGACACAACCGAGACATTTTTCAGCTGGTTCAGACAATGACAATTTCATATTCATTTCATAGGTGGGGTGCTTATTTGTGAGCATATTATTCTTTCTTTCCTTACGTTGTAAAAGCAGAACCTTGAGACAAAATCAGACTGTTGCACGTTGTATGAATCTAATAATAAAGTATTTTATCAATGGCAAACCCAGGAAAAGTGGTGTAAGCGCTGCTATTATTGACTAAGCACTGACATTTCACTCCTACTTCACTTCTGAAAGTTATTCTAAAGTTATGGACACGCTCAAAATGTATGCATGTGAGGAGGGAGGAAGGACACTAACTCGACCTCTGAGGCAAGTATAACACAAAACAAACACTTTCAATCAATTTTTAACCAAGTACAATAGAAGTAATAGTACAGATTTGAGTACTCCTCCAGTATTGGTGCTGATACTGAAAAATATGCAAGATCAGATACCAGATTCCAAATATCGATTCAGCCAATATCCCGGTTGGACATATAAAATTATGTAATATAATAATATTTTCTGGTTGTAGTTGGCCCAGATAGTCTCAGAATGTTTGTAGTTGTAGTTATTTGAGAGATAAATAACATCTAATTTTATTTTAGTTTAAAAGGAAATAAATGCTGTTTTCAGTCTCTGCACTGGTATCGGATAATATCAGGAAGAGATCGACCAAATTCAGAGAAACCATAAACTTTGCTGACATTTTTGGGCAGATATGTAGGCCAGATTTGGATAATTTTCCTCAAATTATGCTATTTAAGTTTTTTTTTAAACAAACTAACCCACAACTCTTTTTACCACAAACTTTTGAGAAGGCTGTGTAGTCTCAGTTTGTACAGTTATTCGTTGTTCGTATTAAAGGGTTAAAACAAAGCTTTGTGTCTATTTTTTAGGCAGCAAATTGACCAAAACAGAATATCTGCCTGTGCTGGAGATTTAAGGTAGACAGTCAACACGCTAATAAGTCCAAATATCGGCCATATCATTCCATCTCTAATGTAGGGTATCAGCATATTATTAAACCAAAGTATTCCTCTTAAAAGCAGCGCAGGTTTGGTGTGACAGAACTCCAGACTCTATTTCTCTGAATAATCCCAAAAGGACTTCCAGCACTTAGAAGTCTAGCAATAGTTTTCCCCAGTGTGCAGAGTGAGCCACAGCGCCCACGGATCTACTTGTTTATTTTCCTGATACAAATCTGACCGTAGGCGCTGGAAACATGCTCCCGTGATTAACTCCCACTCCCAAATCCCTGACACTTAAAGTCATTGTTCGTCTCACACTGTGGGCCCCTCCTCTGGGACCCTCTGCCCTGTGTGATAAGTGCCACTGGCCAAAATACTGCCACACCCTTCCTCAGGACTAGGGAAAAGCAACCAGCGTTGGACTTCAATGAGCAAATCTGACCGCCAAGAGTGAATGAAAGATAAGAGCCAGTAATGGTACACAGCATGAAAGTGTCCGGCACAGGAAACCGAGAGGCATTTGTTAACAGCAATCAATTATGTTAAAGTGAAGCTCTCAGGAGGAGGGAGTGTTCACAGTCTTGTAGATCTTTTAAAGGTTTGCATATAGACTGTAAGGAGGCAACTGGGGACAAGAGTTATTTAACTGGAAAAATTTTGATTAACCACAGTAGTTTTGGTAAATAAAAATGACTCAGCTATAATAATATCAGAGCCTGGTTAGAAAACATCCACCGATGCTGAAGGAAAAGGCTAGATTTTAAACGTTTATAGAAATGTTGAACCACAGTGATTTTTTTGTTGTTTTTATAATAATAATAATAATAATAATAATAATAATAATAATAATTAATTATTATTATTATTATTATTATTATTATTATTATTATATTATTATTATATCACTTTATGAACATATTTATTATAATCTTTACCTCAAGTGCTAAACATCACTGGCTGAGATCCACTGACTCACAGGTTGATGTGCAATTTCAGCTCCAACAGATGAATGCTGCCATTGTATCCTTGGGCAAGACACTTAACCCCCTTGACCCCAGTGTCTGCGCACACTGGTGTGTGACTGGGTGAGTGATTCCTTGATGTAAAGTGCTGTGAGTGCCTTGAAAGTGGAAAGCGCTATATAAAAATCTAAGCATTTAGATAATGAGTGGTTGGCAGATGTCATCTGAAGTTATGAAACAAACTTGAAATTCAGCTGCATCCGACCAAGCCCAAAGTAGCTAGAAAAAACCTTGTAAACTATAAAGGGGCTTTATGTAACTTTTCTGGTGGGAGGCTCTGTCAAATACTTTTCTCCGTCGAGTTGTTATTCTATCTTCATGGAGACTAAACCAGACAAGTTACAGGTCAAATCAGTGGAGAGGCAACCGCGCTCACAGTCAGAATGTCAGAATATGAGCTATAAAACCACCTGTAAATGTAAGGTAGAGCTGTTTAATATCAGACTGTGGAACATTTCAGGCAGAAGAAAAGCATTTGATGGACCCTCCATCAGAAAAGTTACATAGTGCACCTTTCAATACAATATGTTATAGAAGAATGAACAACAGGACAGACATTTGTGCATGCTACTTGAGGCTTAATTGCAGGCTTAGGAATCAGGTACTTAAATAACTTTATCCAATTGTAACATGTGCCCTGCTCATCTAAACCAATTAAAGACCTCTCCAATCCTCCAACATCCTCTTCCTCTCCTCTTCGGCATCACAAGTACAGCCTCAGGACTACAGGTGTTACTATCTACCATTTGGAATAAGCAGCTAATATCCCATGAGACCATAGCCGGCGGGGAGCAGACAGCCGATAAGAACAGGTCCCGGGTCAGAGAGCGTCCCGAGGGGGGAGGAACGCGCTCACAGCCCTGTCACAAGGCATGCTGGGAGATCAGTTGTGACGAATGAACAATGAATCACTTTGAATCAATGGAAACAGCCCGGTAGCCTTGTGATGTTCTGTAGTTATTCTGAGAAGAAGCACAGGTTTTTCTCTTCGAATATGCTCTGTTATGTATGCGTGCAACTAGGGCTGGTTGATATGGTAAAACAAATTCACAAATTAATGTTCCACCATGTGCACACACACTCAACACACAAAAACATAACTTCAACATCAAGTCAGACATTTATTATCATTTACAAAAGACAGGCTTGTTATTGCTGAATTGATATTAGTGAATCTAGTGACCCAACTACCATACAAGCAACCATGCCTCAGCCATTTAAGTGGCAGAGGCATTTCAGTATGATTTTGCATCATTTAATTCAGTTATTGTAAAACTGTGAAAAATTTAACAAAATATTTAACATATGACAAAAGTCACACTACCTCATTTAAAAAAAAAAAAAGTTCTGCTAGTACTGTTGGGCTGTGATTCCTGCTTTCCCCAAAGGATAGCATATACAGATGTATAAAAGCTCAGTTTCTTAAGGTTCCAGAAGAGGACCAAATGACAAAACAAGGCAGAGGACAATCAGAAGCCTCCATTGGTATGAAAGCTTTTTCAAACATAGAGAATAAATGATCCAAACAACATGGCCAAATCAGAGGATCTCCTATAATCTGGTGCTAAGGGTCTGCAGATGTCAGTATCAAACTTTGTTTAAGGAGCAATAGACAATCTGGACGGTAGATACTGGCTCTAAATCAAAAGTGAGCAAATACATTTCTTCATAGAGGTGCACTTTGGGCATGGTGGTCAGTTAAACCTAGTTCAGTGGTTCTCAAATTTTACACACAAGCATCAGTATACACAACAACAATGTAGATTAAAGGTCCTATATTACAAGA